CAAAGAGGGCAAGACATCAAAGGAGACTCACCTTTAGAGGCATCTTTTTTGATTTGTTCATCTTTTCTCATGTCTGAAGGCTCCAGGGCATTTAGATTCCACTTGTCCCATGAATGTGGAACTGGCTTAGTGCCTGTAGGAAGAAAAATAGAAAATATAGAGCTTGGAAGATACTGAAGAATGTGATTATAGTATTGATGATGGTGGTAAAGATGATGGTGATTATGATAAAAGGGATGATAATGATGAAGGCGGTAGTGATGATGATGAAGATACATGTAGGGAAATGTAATGAGGATGAAGAAGATCATGACCTAGCAGGCGATGATGAAACCTCTTTGCAAAATCTTAAATCTTTTACTCACCAACCATCCATTGGTAAACTAATTGTAGGAGATGCTCTTTAAACTTTGTATCAAACTGCTTGTAAGATGTTGGAAAAGCCAGACAAAAAGTACAATAAACAGCTTGGGAAACCAAGTCAGGAAAGCACTACAAATATAACAGATGTAAATCATTTACGAGTGACAATCCTAGCTGAAGCATGGGTGGTGTTTTCTGCTAATTGGTGGGTCTCACATATGCGACCTGTGTTAAATTCCTGGGCTCAGTGTCGTTGGTTCTCTCCCCAGCATTGAGGGTTTTTCCTCTAGCTTCTCCAGGTTTTTCCTTGCTTCAAAAAAATCTATGTCTACTTAATTCTAATTCAATCTATTGGCCGCCTTATCAAGTGCATTGTAAAACCTGTTAGGCTTTCTGACATCCTAGAGTGTTAAATCCCATTAGATACTATGCACTAAGGACACTTGCACATCCATGCATTTTTTAATAAAAACACTAATTAAGTTTTAAAAAAATCATTTAAGAATACAAGTTTGTTAGGGAAAGGGTTTTTTGAAAAAAGACATGCTTAATCTATTAGCTTTCTGTGGAAGCTAAAGAATGTTACCTTGAAGAAAGTATCTCTGAACTCATTCATCGGGGCCATGAAGAATAATTTCACATAGTTATGGGCAATTCTGTTGAAAATTAGTTCTTGAATCTTTTTATCAGACTGCAAGAAACAAAGAAATTAAGAAA